AAATCCAATTTATGTTTGAGGGTAATTTTTTCCATTGCAGTATGACTACACCAATGTAGCTATGAGAAGTCCCATTTGGGAAGGCTATTCAATAACATGGAGAAATACTCACGACCTCATCTTAAGGGAGAAAAAGGAATCTGAAATTTATGTAGTTCATGATTCTAATATTGGCTTTTTTAAAATGCGGGCATGTATTTGTATAGAAAAGACTGAAAACACCCAAAAGGTAACCATGGATCTCAGGTGAGAGAGGTTTTCCTAAAGCTAAATATGTTCAATTTAGAGGGCTAACTTTTATCCTGAAATGTCCTTTTACTTTTTTGATAGCATGCTTTTATGAAAGGATGGTTTCAGTAGAATATTGGCTGGGTGCTTATAAATGTACATGCAAAATTAAACATTGGCAGCTTTATGTCAGAGCCCTGTATACCCCACCGTGGTTTTTTTTTATGTTCATTTTAGAGAAGTGTGAATACCAACTGCTCTAGGAGATGGCCTGGTGGGAATCTCACTTCTCTGCTCTGATCCCTTTGGCCTTCCTTGGATTCAAGACTCTCCCAGCTGGACCTGGCTTTGCTTCCATGGGATTTCAAAGCAGGGAAATTATTTCCAGACAAGAAGAATGATGGGTGACCTCCTGGAGGAGGTGGCATTTGAATGGAGCCATGAAGGATGGATGAAATGTAAACTTTTGCAAGCTAATGGGGAGAAGAGACAGCAATGCATGAGGAAACACGCCACGGTGCGAAAACACAAAGCATGTGCAGGACACATAAATGCAGTAAATACAGTTGGCCTTTGAACAATGGAAGGGTTGGGGCATCTATCACCAGCACAATAAAAGACAAATTTGCAAATTGTTGCCAATTTCCAAAACATTTTCCAATATATTTACTGAAAAATATCAGTGCATTAAACTGACCCATGCAGTTCATACCCATGTCGATCAAAAGTGAACCTGTATTTAACTGTGTAGTGGGGGTGAGGCTTCATGAGGGGCACTAGGTTGCAATAGGGCTACTGTTCTCAGGGGGTTTCTGGGCTGGTGGTCAAACGGCTGGAACTTGAGGCCAGATGACTGCAAGCAGGGCTTTTCAGTCACTCAGCCACCCTCTGAAGCTTCTTCTCCTGAATGCTCACTCCGAGGAGAGCAGTTGGGAAACATCTCCCTAGAAATAGTGTAAAAGACAACAGCATGCCACAGTGAACACTTAAAATACCAGAGGCAGAGCCCCAGCACATGGTCCCAGCTGGCCTGTGGCTTGCATGGTGAGAGTGCTGCTTCCAGCATGTTGGAGGGGAACAAGAGTAGATCTATTTAGCAGGATTCTTCCAGGACAGAAATTCTGTTTGCTTTTTCCAAGTGCTTAGGCATCCAATTCCACAGTCATCCTTTCCCTCTAGCTTATCTTTCCATGACTTTGGAGAGCAGTCTTCCTTATCTAGGAAACAAATGGCCTCCACGAGAGCTCAAAACAGCAAAGTCATTTATCTGTTTGACATGTGTTTCCCTGTTTGTTTTCTCTAGCCTTGAGACAAGAATTGTGTCAACTGTGCATGGCTGTGTCCCAGTCACTTGAGAGGCATGAATCAATTTCCAGCTGCATTTATCACTTGCTGCCTTAAATCAAGTCTAATCAATGCTTCCTTCATTTGGTATGGATTGAAACTATATACAACACACCAAAAACAGGCAGGAAACAGCAGATCACAAAAATTCCATCGGGGCCTTAGGTGGGAATGATGTAGATGGGGAACATTTGTAATCTTTGATTTGCTTTGATGGAGATGCCTGGCCAGAGGTTTGCATTTTGAAGCTTAACTTCTGTGTACCTGACACACGACAGCAATGCACGACAGATTATTTTATACAAGAGGACTTTCACATCTGGAAAGATCTTATAGCACAGTCTGAAGAGCTGATACATTTTTTGAGTAAGGTTTTAGTCCTATATGGTCTCCAACCCATTTCTATTTCTTTTACAGGTACTTGTCTCCACTGACTCTATGGACCAGTTTCTAGTAATCAGATAAATAATAAGTCTCTTTATAACAAAACAGATATCCAGGAGCTCCTCTGATTTAAAATAATTTTATAAAGTCTTACAACTGAGAAAACTTGCCCTCTCTTCCCCTTCCCCCAATTCTTGGTCATAGAATTTGATCCATACAACCAAAGCAGATGTTTCACTAGCAGGTGTGAAACCTGCACCCTCAGCTGTCCAACCAACTTAGAAGGTGGTAGGGGGCAGGCCTCATCTCATTTGTAAATTCATCCTGTGCCGGAACAAAATGGTATCGGCTTAGTGACTGGCACCTAAAACTGATCATGCACATAGCAAGGTCCTGCATTTTCTTCAAGGATAACAGGAGAGGAGAGACAGACATAGAAAAATAGGCCAATGATAATGTAAACTCTGAAGATCAGGCAGTGCTGTGATTCACTGATATAATTAATATTTCTGCCTAATCTGCTGGGCTGTGTAGACTTTTACTGCTAGCGTGCCTCTGAAGCCATGACCAGGGCTGACTCATTTTCAGTGCTGGCTCCCCCAGTGACCTGTTGTCAGACAGCTGAAGAGAGCCCAGTTCAGCTCTGGGAAGTCAGACAATAATAATAAACCCTTATGTTGGTTTAATACTTTCCAGTTGATAGGGTATTTTAACATAGTTTCATCACCCTATAAGATGAGCAAGAAAAACAGTCCTATTCCCGTTTTCAAGAAGTAGGGTGAGGTTCGGAGGTTGGCAAACCCCCTACAGGGTGGTCACACCTGAGTGTGGCGCCAGAAAGCAACTCTTTGTCTCGCTAGTCCTAAAGGGTTGGACAGTCCCTTGAGTCTCCTTGTTCTTTCCCCAACTTATTATTTTTCCCATCCCCCAGGCTTCTTGGGAAATCATATGGTTATAGGAGATCCCTAGAGTTGCCTGGCAGGTTGTCTGGTTTAAAAAAAATAAAAGGCAGCACCTTTGCACTTGTTTTGGGTTACAGAAGTGGTATAGTGTTAACTCATCTTAAACAAAGACAGGGTAATGTGATACGGCAAAGTTCTCCCCCTCTGTGAACAAAGGGTACAAGAAATGCTGCAGACATGGAGTCTAAACTTAAGGCGCTCACTCACATCTTTAATACTCATGAGAGTCATTTCATATGTGCCTTTGGTTTGGGGGTGTCCAGGAAGGATCACATTGGCGCATTTTTTTAGGAAAGGAGTAATGGGTCTTTTCACCCAAGACAAGTCTCTCACCAAAGTAGATCCTGTTTAAATTCCTAAGGACAGAAGTTGATGGAAAGAAGAATTTCCATGGCTTTAACCTTTTAGGCAAGAGTGGATTTGCTCAACTTGACATTAGTAGCAGTAAATGAATGGAGTAGTGGATAATGGATTTTCAAACTGGCTGCAGGTAATGTGCTACTGAAGAGAAGTACATTTTCAATGGTCATAGGGATTTTGAAGCTCTCCAGGGAGCCTGGGAAAAATCGTGAACACATTCTGAAAAGCTGTTTCAGTGTTCAGGAGTTAACATGCGTGTCAAATGGCATAGTCACCCCAACCATCCTGTTAATACAAACTGGAATTTATATTTGAAATACAAATACTCACAACCTATACAGACTCGGAGTAAAAGGGATCATACCCATTTTTGAAATAAAAAAATGCTACGTATCAGATTTCATTTCATTTCCTCCCCAAAGCAAATTGGCTGATTTCATTTGTTCATTCACTCAACCGGTATTTATGGAGCACTGAGACTCTGGGCACTAATGATTCGGTGGTAACCAGACACAACACAGAACCCACTCCCGAGGGGCTTACACTGAAGTGGGGAAATTCACGTTTAAAATATTAATGGAGACTTATGCTTCCAATCAAGATGGAGTAATAGGGACCAGATTTACTCTCCCACCTGACATAAGCAAAAAACAAAGAAATAATACAGGAAACAATGGTTTTTAAGACAATGGACATCAACCAATGAAAGACAGTGATCCTGAGTCATGCAAAACAAACCTGACGAGCTGTATGATCATGCTGAAGACTGGCCAGGACAACCTAGGCAGACCCCAGTGGGTTCAAGTTGAAGAGACAGAGCACAGGGCTTGGGGAGACCAAGGTAGTTAGAGTTTGCAAGACAGAGCACCAGGGAGGAGAGAGCTGCAGAGACCCCAGATACCTGGAGTGGGTCCCCCTCTAGTACTCAAGCATATTAATCCTAAGAGTATGTATGTGAGGCCACGGGAAGAAGCATCTCTGAGGATCAGAGGAACAGAGCTCAACACTCACACAGGTGCCTGTGTCCACCACCCAGACTGGACAGCCCCCAAGTCACATGGTCTGGGACCTTGGTGCTGTGAAAGAGGTCATCCTAGACTGAGAACTGGTCCAGACCTGCTCAGAAGTTACACACGCCAGACCCCCAAGGATCCAACTATTTCCAGGTAACTCAATTACCTCCCAAAGCAAAGCTAAAGAACATTTATAAGAATACACCCAGCACCCAACAAGGTAAATTCACATCGTTTGGCATCCCAGGATGACAAGGCATGCTACAATGACTCGTAACTAGAACTTATATCCAGTAATTATAAAGAACTCTTAGAACTCAAAAATAAGGAAACAACCCCACTTGGAAAAAAAATTGGCAGAAGATTTGAACTGATACTTCACTGATGGTACGCAGATGACAAACAAGCATACAATAAGATGCTCAACGGGGTAAGTCTTTACAAATGCAAATTAAAACCCCAATGAGGGACTGCTTCACACCTGTCAAAATGATTAAGAATTTTAAAAAATGACCATATCAAGTAATGATGAGAATGGGAAAGAACAGGCCCGCTCATACAGTACTGATAAACACGGAAAATGGTACAGCCCCTTTAGAAAACAAAACTGTTAAACATACATCTACTGTACGACTCAGTCATTCCACTCCGAGATATTTACCTAGGAGAAATAAAAGTGTATGTCTACACAAAGACTGCATACAGATAATCAAAACACCTTTATTTGTAACCAGGAGATTTCCAGCCAAAAGCTGGAAACCACACAAATGTCCATCAGTTGGTGAATGGATAAATCCATACGATTGAACAGTACTCAAATATGGAAAAAATTAAAATTAAAAAAAAACCTTGCTATATGTTACACTGATAAAGCTCAAAATAATTATACAGAGTGAAAGAAGCCTGATAAAAAAGAGTATATACATTACTCTGGATTCAATGGAAGGCGGTAGCAGACAAGGGGACGCTTGGAGGTGAGGGGAAAGGGCAGCATCCTGACGGCAGGAGTTACTTCACTTGGGACAGACACGTATCAGCACTTACCACACTGTATACTTTAAAGATACACAGTTTATTGTATGTCAAATATACCTCTGTAAAGCTACTGAAAACATCAATGGGCTCCACATGCTAGAGATTCTGGCAGAACTAATTTTCATCTTCGAACATTAATTACACTTCCATAAAAATACTTCAGAACTTTTATTTTTAAAATTGCAACAGGAAACCAGCTGATATCAACATTAGTCCACTGGAAGACAATGATGTATACGCAAGAAAAAGTACTAAGTGAAAATGAAGAATTCTAATTCAGTAAATAAAACCAAGTCTGACCTAATTTTCAACAGTGAGTAAAACCACTCAGAGTGGGTCCTTAGGTGTCTGCTGGGCATGTCCACCCTGCACGCTGCTCTGGGGGTCGGCGGCACCGCCCTCGGGGTTGGAAATGTGAACAGCAGCCCCTAGGTGTTCTCCAATCTCCTCTATCAGAGGCCCAGCAAGTCCTGGATCCTGGCGAGAGGACAGTGGCTTTCCTAGACTAATGTCAGTCCTGGGGAAGGCCAAGGTTCTACACGCCCCACCGTCATCGTAAAACAGGGCACTGCTTCCCTCCAGAAAGGGACCCCGCAGGGAACGGACCGTCTCGGACTCGCCATCTCTGGGCGCCTCTTGTTCTGGGTCTGAGTCTTCAGGCTCAGATGATGTCGTGCTGTCCGACTCCTCTGACTCACTGGCCTCAGGCCTGGGGGAAGGCACGCGCTGCCTGAAAGCGGAATGGGTGGCTTCTCCTGCACTTTCTTCCTCCTGGACAAGACGTGCGGCTGCTTCCAGTTCCTCCAGTTCTAAACCCAGCTTGGCCTTGGACAGAGAGGCTTCCTTTAAGGCTTCTGCAAGAGCTGCCAACTTTTTGGACCTTGAAAACCATTTTAAGAAGAAATATTAGGACTATTCGTTAAGTGGCCTGGGGATAAGAAGTACACAGCTTAAAGACATGACAATACAAAGCGGGATCCACTCTTCACGGGACACACCACAATCAATCCCCAAACAGATGAAAGATATCAACCTAAAAAAGGAAGCTAGGCAAGTGATACAAGGATTTCCTCTATGATCCCTGAACAAGGAAGGCCTTTCTAACCATGACCCAGAATCCAGAAGCCACAAAACAAAAGCAAAGATTGATCAATTCAACTAGTAAAAGTCAACAACTTCTGTAAGGCAAAAGAACCCATCAAAAGCAAAGTCAAACGGTTCAGGCATAACTGAGAAAAAATTTGCAACTCGTATTACTGAGTAAGGCTTAAATCCCCCAGCACAGTTCTTTCACCATCCATCTGGAAAATGGGCAGAAGACAGGGCAGACGATTCTCACCAAAGGAAATACAAGTGCCTCTTAAATATATGATAAGATGTTCAGCTTCAGCCAAATAGGAGAAATACAAACCAAAGCCATACTGAGATATACACAGTATTTTTCATTTACTAGGTTGGCAAAAATCCAAACATCTGGTAACGTGGTGAGCAAGGCTACAAGGAAGAAAAAAACTTCATTCCCTTTGGGTGAGAGATTAAACGGGCTCCAGCTCTACGTAGGAGAGGTTGGCAATAACTTCTAAAATTGAAAATGTACATACCCTTGACCCAGCCATACCACATCTGGAAATTAACCACATATGCTACATGACACAGGCTCAAGGCTATTTACTATGGCATTGTTTTTAATACCCAAAATGGGACACAACCAGATGCCCATCAATATGAGGCTGTCAAATAAGTTACGGCACATCCATTCAGGGAGTAGCCTACGGCTGGCGTAGGAATGAAGCTCTCTGTGGCCCAAGCCGGACATACCATTTAATGACAACCACATAAGGCCTGCCATGTGTATATACTACCTTTTATGTTTAAGATTAAAAAAACGCAAGAAATAAAAACATGTATTTGTATTTGCTTATATACTTATCAATAAACTCTAAAGCTACAGAAAACACTAACCTATGTGGTGGGAGGGTGGTAAATGGAAAAATGGAGGACCATTGGGAGGGAGAATTTTTGATGTACACTGTTTATTTTTAAACCTATGTGAACATAACATGTACTCAGAATTTTGTATGTACAAAAAAAAGAAAAAAGCAATAGTAGAGGGCAGCATGGAGTGCTTTTTATTCTCATCAGAAATCATTTTGTATCATTTCAGAGGCTTTCTAAATTTGTAACTTTATGTTACACTGAATCAAGTTTTTCATTAGTTCTGATGCTCTTTTGTTTTCTGTTCTTGAAAACACAACAAAGCAAACTGCCATCCTCTAAAAACTATCTTCACTATGCTGTAGAGAAAAATCTGATGTGACAACTGAAAAGAGGTGGTGGTGAGTGAGAATGCTCAGCGTGCAGACATGGCTTCGTGGCTTCTGGTCTCCCTAACTGTAAAGATTAAATGAGGATATGAAACATTTAGTGGCTCTGTCACAAACTGGATGAGGGCAAGTTCAGTAGATAATTCACTTGTAAAAGTGTGGTCCATCCTATAATACTGGGAAAATGACACTTCATTTCAATAGAGCTGACATGCATGGGTAGTACAGTGGGAACCACTGAAAAAAGATGGTATTTTTCACCTAAGTGCCTACATGTATCTGAGATCATGAGTTTGTGAGGGATGCGCCCCCAGCATCTTCACAGGTGTAATGAGGACCCAGAAGCGCCGCTACAGTCAGAGGCCAAGGGTGGGCGGGAGATATGGTGGGGTGAATGGGACAAGGCCAACAGCCACCAGTGATGGACAACTTCCTCTTAAGCATGGAAAACGCTGAGACTGAGGGCTGGAGTTGCAGAGCTTAGAAAAGGAAAGGTAGCTGGGGAAAGAGGAAAACTAAGGTGAGATCAGCCAGTCAGTTAATGGTTCACCAAAGGGCTCAAAGCTCTGGATAAACTCGGGTCAGTCTGAGACCACCTCTCAAAGCATAGTTATGGAATAAGATGGTTGCGACACAATTTACATCATGTCCAAGACAGCTGTCCATGATGTCCACCACATACTGTGAAACCTGACCACCAGTGGTAAAGGATGCAGTCAGAGCTTGTGGCCCCATGTAAAGCCCCAGGCCCTAGCAGCCTGGCCACTAGCTCAATGCCACCTTTCTCACTGGATGAGGTCCTCTCTGGGTACCAACACACCCCGTTAGGGATGAAGAGCGATGAACTTGGTAAAAAAAAGCCATGCCTCTAATTAAAGTGTAATAGTAGAAATAAAAATTTAAAACAGAAGTTTTTACTTAGGTGCCCACATACATTTTTAATAGCCACGACAAATACGTTCGACAATATATGAAGGATAACGTTCCACAGACGTCACTGCACTTGCACCTAATGACCACCCCAGGAATCAGTGTCATTTTTTCCCAACAGTACCGATGAAACAGAAGCTTAGGGGAGTTAAGAGAGCTGCTGAAGCTCATCCAGCTAACAAGGGGCAGATGAGATTTGAAACCCAGGCCTCAGAGCCCCAGTGTTCTTCCTACTCCACCTTAGGGCCTCTGTGAATATCCAGGCTCAGGAAAGTTCCACTTTCTAAGACCACACTCCTACTCCTTCCCAATCCAAGCTCTTCTCCACCACCTTCCAAATGAGCAAGTTCTGACTTGCATAAGGCCCAGGATTTGTCAAAGAAGCTATGCCCGATAACTTCAGCTTACCAGTCTTAAATGAAATCTACATCTACACTTTCTTAAAGAGATATGGAATCGGAGGAAAAATCTGAATTATTTTTGTGGATATTACTGAATATAATAGATACATTAACTCATGAGTTGAAACTACTTGGATCTTTGCTATTGTTGACTATAAAATATTGTATCTGTCATATATAAAATATAAATATAGAATTTCTAAACCCCTCTCCTACAATCCTGGCTCTTTTCAGAAAGCATATCCCGCATTATCACAGGACTAAAAAGTATCAACTCTAACAGCCAAGAAGGCGGCAAGGATGAGCCATGTGACCCAAACAGAAACCTAGGCCTGTAACGGGGTGATGGGAATTTTTATCCTTCACTCTGTAAAGTGGGAAACAAAGTGTAAAATATGTAAATATTTTTTACATATGTAAAATATGTAAAAAATGAATTACATGTTCGTTTTTTTATTCTTTACCATGCTGATTCATCTCTGTGTCTTATTATCCCACTTTTACTACCTGGCTAGTTCCCTAAATTAATATTAAAGTTCTGATAGAAACTTTAAGTTAATGGAAGAAGCATTCTGAACTCTCCCCCTAAAGAATGCGAGGGTAAGAAGTAATGGAAAATGTCACTATGTCATTGGTACAGAATGTGACCTAATAAACTGAGGAAGGAAAGTTGGGTTTGTTTCTATTCAATGGCTTTATTTCTATACAGATAACTCAGCAAACACTGCTAAAAAAGAAAGAAATTATTCCTTTGGAGAAAAAGACTAAGCCATGGAAAAAGTAGCTTTTTTGTTCTTTCAACCATGGGTACATTTAGAGTTGGTTCTAAGTTTACCACTCCTTATAAATTCTCACCCTGTAATGGCCCTTCCAGTTCAGAAAGCACCTCATTTAATGTAGTTCAGTGGTTTTTCACTGTCACACTCAGAACAGACCAGGTCAGTTCATGTTAAAAGCCTTGTCAGATGACATTATTATGACATTATTAGTTAACCCAAATGCTTACAATAACCAGGCACATTGATTTAAGTTAATGAAAACACTCTGTAAGTTACTAGTTGCACTTACAGCATATATTTTCTATCTCAGTGGAGAACAACTACTGGTTAAGATTCTATTACACAGTGCAGAGATTCAGCACTTAAAAGAAACAGGACAATTAGATGACACTAATATCACATTCTAATAAAATTATACTCAAAACAGGTTTTTCTTAGAACGTTATTAGAAATGTAATCTTGCCCTGTAACTTTTTAAAAAAAAAACCATCATTCTAAAAACAAAAAAAACACCTTCATTCTGTGTACACATGTGAAATAATATCCTATTTGGAGGCTGTCTTTTAGTTAAAATCTGCTCTCTGACAAGTTACAGTAAATATAACTACCATGAAAGAGTAATAGTAGCAGCTGAAAGTGCGTGCCTTTGCCGTGGCTAAGCTAATATAGAATTTCCTTCATCCTTTTATATTTGGTGACTGAGGGGGAAAAAAAAAAGATCCACAGCTTTATAAAACAGCCAAACCAAAGTGCAAAAAAAAGAAGCCCTGAAATGTAGGGAAAAGAAAACTGAGTATAAATAGAAAGCATACATCCTGGTTCTTGCTGTACAGTTTTGTCTCAAACTATCAATCAACTTTTCACCACTTCCTGCAATACAAGGTCTACTATAAATCTTGCAGCAACTGACTAGGTTTCATTTCCTCTGCCAAAACCTGCTAACCTGCCAGGCATGACACACTGACACTAGAGCCAGGAACTGATAATGTGGGACAGGACTCCGGTGGGGCAAAATTCAAGGGACATTTCATACTGGGTGATGGAATACACTGACTTGGCCTTTTAAGCCAAAGGGTGAGCACACACGCACACATGCACAGAGCAAGGATTCTATCTGGGAACAAACAATAGATCAACTTTCTTTTTAAAGGGGCACTGAGATGATGATGATGACATATAATCATAATTCCTTTCAGTGGAAAATAACTAGTTCCAAACTTTGAAATCCCCTTTCCCAAACACCTTCATGCTGCCCAACCTAAAAGGTGATGCATTAGCTTGAGCAGAAGTTGCTGGGGAGACCCTTCTCTGAAAGTTGCCATGAAAAACAAACACCAACCAATGCACAGTTGGACACAGAACTGTCTGTAGTCTGCAGCAGTGAAAACCGTCTCCAACTTGGTCATTAACAGAAACAGTCCATATCTTTAAACAAGAAACTATGAA